GATCGTGGCATTAAGACGGTGATGGTTAACTATAATCCAGAAACAGTCAGCACAGATTATGATGAAGCTGATCGTTTGTATTTTGAAAATATTACTTTAGAGCGTGTATTAGACATTTATGAAATTGAAAGTTCTTGTGGTGTGATAATTTCTATGGGTGGCCAAACTCCAAACAATATAGCATTACCATTGTTTCGCCAAAATGTTCAGATACTTGGTACTTCTCCGGAAATGATTGACACTGCTGAAAATCGATATAAATTTTCTCGTATGTTGGATCAGATCGGGGTCGACCAACCGAGATGGAAAGAGTTAACGAGTCATGAAGAAGCACATGAATTCTGTAAGCAGGTTCAATTTCCAGTTTTAGTACGACCATCATATGTATTATCAGGTGCTGCAATGAATGTAGTGTATTCCTCGGATGATCTTTCTAATTATCTTAGTCAAGCTACGGCAGTTTCTAGAGAACATCCAGTTGTAATTTCAAAATATATTGAAGAAGCTAAGGAAATTGAAATGGATGCTGTGGCTCTTGATGGTAAGCTAATAATGCACGTAATATCAGAACATGTTGAAAATGCGGGCGTACACTCGGGTGATGCAACTCTTGTCTTACCGCCACAGGACCTTGATCCTGCTACTGTACGAAAAATCGAACTCGCTACTCAACAGATCGCAAATGCATTAAATGTGACTGGTCCTTTTAATATTCAGTTCATTGCTAAAAACAATGATATAAAGGTTATAGAATGCAATGTTCGCGCGTCAAGGTCTTTTCCATTTGTGTCCAAAGTTATGGACGTGGATTTAATCGAGATGGCTACATTGGCTATGTTGGGTGTTCATATTGATCCATACCCACCAATTAATTTACCAAAGAATTATGTAGCTGTTAAAGTGCCACAATTCAGTTTTAGTCGTTTATCTGGTGCTGATCCTATATTGGGTGTAGAAATGGCATCTACTGGTGAAGTTGCATGTTTCGGGCGAGATAAATATGAGGCATATCTTAAGGCGTTGATATCTACAGGCATTACTGTCACCATGCCTCGAAAAAACATTCTGCTTTCTATCGGTTCATTCAAGGAAAAGAATGAAATGTTAGCATCAGTAAGAAAACTTCATCAGATGGGATTCAATTTATTTGCCACATCCGGAACTGCAGATTATATTC